GGACGCCTTTAAGAATAGATGAAAAAGGAAGAAAAAGCGAAGCGAACTTCTCAGTAGATGGTGTGGAGGTACAGGGGGCATAGCTGGGGGGGGGGGAGTAGTCCTAAGGTTGGGTATAAATAGGGGGTAGTCCTGTGGTGGGGCATGGATATGGTGTGGTTCGGGGGTGTCATGTGACCCTTCTCTAGTTTAGATAAGTTTGGCTCTCAGTCTATTCCATAAAAGCCTTCTGTAATTCAGGTTCGCGAAAACGTACTAATCCGAAGAATCTTCATGGCTTAGACCTTACAGGGTTCGAGATACCCCATTTACCTGTCCTTCTCACCGCGTGATCTCAGATGAACTCGAGCTCAGTGATACACATGAAAGAGAAGAGGTGTAAGCTACTTTCATGTAAGACGCGCGAAACTACTCCGAGTGGTGGAGTGGAACATTTTCAAAACAGTCCAAGTTTAGTTTAGAATTTCGACACAGTTTAAAACTGTTCTAAAATAATTTCTTGTGCATCAATCTCGGCAAAGAGATGAATCACTTGTAAACAATCAAAGTTCTCGCACAAAATCTCATTGCAATTAACTAATTCAGAGGTGTAGATAAGTGTTTCGATATAAGAGGCTGGGGTGAGATGGGGAGTACAATAATAATTTTAATCTAACAGGTCGCAAACAAACAAGTTTTTTTATGATAAAACATTTTCACTTTTCTAGAAAGGATGGGCAGTGACACGAAAGCTTTGACAATTTTTCCCCCCCTCTCCCCCAGCTTACTCCTTAAAAATGTTCAAGAAATAACTCTTTTCGACCATTGCTATAATTTATTTTCTTTTTCCTTATTTCAATCTTTATACAGGCAGAGTGCCAAGACCTCCAGGCAAAGTCTTGCAATGCCTCGCATCTGCAACCTGAAGAGACCTTTGAAAAATGCGAAGCTACGTGCTGTGAACAGAACATGTGCAATGGGCTTGTAAACAACACCTCGCCAAGTGTAAACGCCTCACCAAGTGGCCCAGCAACCAGTGTTCTTGTAAAACCTACTGCCACAGAAGCCTCACCAGAACCTGTCAGCGGTGCCACAGCATACAACAAAGTTGTATCATTCGCTACCATCTTTACAAGCGCACTCTTTGTGCTTTTTTTTGTTTACTGACTTTGAGCAGTAATCATTGTAAGAGTGCTAAAAACAACGTTTACCAGGTGCTACAATCTGTTTGTTTTTGTTTGTGTTTTACTATTTAAAGAAGAATAATTAGTTTCGGCTAGCTGATCAAATTTCTCATCTTATGCAATTACTTTACATACAGTATAAGTGAATTAAGAGGCCACCCGCTGTATTCCCGCTTGTATCAGAGTTAGACAAGTCCATTAAATTGGATAGAACTGTTTTTATTGTTGAACACTAAATAGAAAAGAGTAAGTGATCCGTCGCCTTTTAAACGGGACCTTTGAGTCACAGATTTCTAATAGTCAACAAATGATGAAATCTAAACTGCAATAGGACGAAGAGAAAACGAAAATTTCTTATCAAGTTGTTTGCTTAGAAAGGGTTTATGTAACTCAGGTGCTTAATTTTGGTGTCTACGTCTATTCAGGAAGATTAGTTTCAGTGTAGTTTCATTTTTCAATAGATAGATAATCAAGTTAATAAAAATGTTGGACTTGAGACGTATTGTTTTCCTTATACAGATTTTCGGTTGATATGGCACCCACTAATACTTATACAGTAAACATTTTAGCTGCTATTCCTTTGGCCTGTTAGGAATTCTTCAATCCATCTTGATCCTCAGATTATTTTCTATTAACTTTCCAGTAATTCTCCCGGCGTGGTAGTTCGTAATCTGTCTCGTGAGAGAGTCATTCCATCTACTATTGATACGAAATGTTTAATTAAACAGGCAAGCTGTTTTGCGCGGGTTTTATGGTTATGGTTTGCAAAGGTTTTTGAGAATTAGTTTACATCAATTACTCGGTTTGGCGCGGCCATGAGAAAAAGCAAACATGAACAGCGACTCAAGAATTTTCCAGTCGGCGACTCAAACTTTTTATTGAAACAAAGTGCATTTTGACAACTTGTAATTGTCGTATTTGCACATTTCTAATGTACAATTGTGGTTGGAAGTTTTCGCTTATTGGTTTCATATTAATCTTGTTACGTTACGCGATCACCGTATGATTATTATACATATATATATGTGTATATATATACATATATATATATATATATATATATATATATATATATATATATATATATATATATATATATATATAAATAAACTGGGCAGCAAAGGGTGATATTTACTCAGGTTTGTGGTTCCATTCCAATATTATATCAGTTTACCCAACTGTTTACTACGTATTTCCTACGATCTTAGTCGAGTCATATCTAACTGCGCCGATAAAAGTAAGTAGCCTAGCCTGAGCGATTTTAAGAATACCTGGTTATGAAGCAGGGGTCGAAGGATTCTGGTAACGTCACGATAAAATTAATCTGATCCTTCCATAAGGCTCTGTAAGATCATAATGATCCCCCCCTACGAACAAGGGAGGTGTGACTGGTGCGACTTATTACCAGTTGTGCTTTCAGGGGGGAGATTATTTACTCGTTATGTACTGAGTGGATTTGAGCATAGATACTCGAGTTAGCCTTTCGTACGCTGCCAAGTGTAATCATGTGACATCTTCTCTTTGCACTGTCTTGTTAAAGTTTTGACTTCTCACCAAAAGCCGACCAACAAATTCATGTATGTTTGTCATAAGACCTTTATTTAAATCCTTCATATCCTTGAGATAAGGATTAATCAACGACTTTGTCTCCTATTAGTCAGAGACAAATTTAGAAATAAATTTAACGATTTCGATCTTCACGATGTGTTTTTCTCATAAAAGATAGACTGTTACTGGCTGGTTTCCATATGATATTCTGGGTCGTTTCAGGCGTTCAAAAGACGTCTTTTAGGACGATTGTGATAATTATGTGAAAACGCAATAAAGGAAACGCGGTGGCTTTACGATGAGCGTGATTTCGAGATCAGGTCAGATCATTGAACGAAACATTATGTTACTGGATAAATAAAAGGGGTAAGTTCCTAAAGAAACTGTGGTGCTGCATCGGTGGGAGAGTATACATGTAACAAGGCAATGAGATCTTTGTCAACTTTTCCATGAAAACAGGAGTTAGAAAGTAGTTGTAGAGTTTCTTTTTGGTAAAGGTCGGCCCACCAAACAACGACTGCCACCAACACCCCCCCCCTAGAATTGGACAATTTCCGATTAACACTTCCGCCTGTCGAGTCTTCAAGGTTAGCTTGCATTAGCGGCTGTCTTCGAACGTAGTTTCAGACTTCAATCCTGACGGAGGTGCTTTCACTTGACGCTTCAAGATGAACGGCTATCTTCTGTGCATTTTGCCATTGTTCGCTTTACCTAACGGTAAGTGAATTTTCGCTTGAATTTGCATTGAATTCTTGCGATAACTAGTTGGTCTAGCAAGTTATGGTAATACTTAAATTATGACCCAATTATGGCAATTAATCTATGAAGGAATTTGCTTGGACATTTCTGAGTGTTGTTAAGACTCGCAATAGCAATTGAGCCAAAACTGGTTATCTATACTGAAAGAAAAATGTCCTAAAAAGCGTTTGAACACAAACTAATCAAAGGTTAATTGTCGCCGTTTTGTTTAATAATTATTGAGTGTGAATCTAATCTACTGAAATGTATTTACAAACGGCTCGCGTCTGTAAAATAAAAAGTAACATCGCTTTGTTTTATAATCTGTGGCTTTTTCTCTTCTACTTGTTTTAAGAAATCTATATTTAGGCGATCACTCTCGTCAGAGACATGCGTCTAAGAGGAATATGATCGGTGTGCGCAATCGAGCATGGTTTTCAGTAAGCTCCGTTTATAACGATTGTCTACGTGGCTTTGATTGTCTAATAGTAGACCTGTGTTAGTTGGTTTTCACATAAACCTTGGTTTTCACTCGGAGCGCACAGGTAAGTAGTTGAGCGCTAAGGAAAGGAAGCATGCTGGCCTTCGGCGTCATATAGACGTCGGTTCATATCGCTATCTATTACGTGTTTATGTGTAACTAAATTATTGAAAAGGAAATGGGAAATATTTTCTAGGTTTAAGGCTCCGAAATTTGTACAATCCAAAGTCTCTGTGGATCAGTGTTTGATCATGTTGCGGAGGCTTTTCGCCAGTTCGGCCAATATAGAAAAATTTCTGAGTAACACTCCGGCCTTTCGGGTCAACATCATCAGTTTACATTAGCCGTGTTGTCGAAGTTCAATTCCCGACGGCGGTGCTTTCACTTGACGCTCTCCAAGATGAACGGCTATCTTCTGTGCATTTTGCTATTGTTCGCTTTTCCAAACAGTAAATGAATTGTCGCTTGAATTCGCATTCTTGTGATAGATAGTTTATTTTGGCAAGTTCTGGTAAAGCTTTAAGTATGACAATGTATGAAAGCGTTTGCAAAACGATTGGGAGTGAATAGCAAGGGACCCAAAAAAGACAAACAAAGTAATCAAAAGTCGATTTTCGCTGTTGTGCTGTTCAGCGTTATGTTTTTAGTGATGAGTGTGAACTTTGAATCTCACCGACTTCACGGGTGTAAACTGACACGAAGGTAATTTTTTATGAACGGCTTACGTCTGTAGACTGAAAAGTTAGATGTATTTGATTGTTGTAGTTCGTCTCTACCTAATAAAGGTAGTAATATTTACTCTTTGTTTATTAGAGGCGAATTTCGTGCGAACAGTAGGTTCAATTCACACCAGCCAGCGCCTTAATTATGTAAGTTGAAAACACAGCGCGCATTTTTAAGGGCTCTAGTCTGACCTTTGAAGGTATTTATTTGTAACTATCCAAGGTTTCCAATAGCGTTTCACGCTGTAATTTTTCAGTTTTTGACCCAATTATGCTTATTTCACTGCTTACTTCGCACAGACTTGCTAGGCTCCTGCCGTCTGCATAGGGTTGACAGGAAAAAAAAAAAACAGCAAGTGTGTTATGTTACGGTTTAAAGATAAATATTTGGCGAAAGAAGGGCTGAAGCGGAAGCAGCTAGTGCAAGAAAGAAGTGTAGTGTAGCTCCCATTGCGTGCCCACATTACGTTAAAATCTGGCAAATCGACCATGTGCTTGTGCTAGTTGCTTTTTGTGCGGACATATTTATTGATTAAAGTGGTCATTTAAGTTGAACACTCTGACTCAACACAGTCAGTGAGTTTTATTGTATTTCATGTTAATTTTAGTTTCGCCGCTAAAGAATAATTTATTTTCGTAGAAAACCTATCTTACATCACTGGAATCGCTGCGAGGGTTGAGTTTTCGATTTCAAGTTTATTATTAATATTATGCGGTTTTGCGAACTGCGTAACATATAGGGAAAAACACAAGACGTAGAACGAATTTGAAAAGTTCAGGGCCGTAGTAAGACTTCAGAACAAGACGAAGATATACTCCAGCAATTCAGCTACAGCGTAATGAACATTATCAAAGGAACTATTAAAAGTTTCGAGCGCCGGAGGCGATAACACCGAGCTTGATGCTAAAGGTCTGGGGGCATGCCAGGAGGTTATTGTTAGTTCGATGGCTAAGTTGAGAGCCGATAAAGCCTCTGGGCCCGACAGAGTTGCTCCAAAACTTTTAAAGTTTGCCGGTGGCTCAATTATTCCATCTTTATTGTCTGTTTTTCAAATAAGCGCCACCTGCAACAGTGTACCGGCTACCTGGAAGGCTGCAAACATCTCAGCTCTCTATAAAAGTGACGATGAAACCGTTAAGCAAAATTACAGGCCTATCTCGCTATTAAGTGTACCAGGAAAACTGATGGAGTCTATGGTGGCGTCAACTATTACCACGCATGTCACTGAACAAGGACTTGGGAACCCTCACCAGTGGGCGTATAAAAAGGTCATTCCACCGAGCTGTTGTTAGTGAAAATAACGGATGACTGGAGACAAGCGATCGACAAGAAACATGTTGTAGGCGTGGTCTTTGTAGACTTTCGTAAGGCGTTTGACGCAATTCCCACTCCATTCTGCTCCGAAAACTTCAAAGTCTTGGTGTAGCTGGGGACTTGTGGTGTTGGATAAGAGATTACCTCTCTGGAAGAACGCAAGTAACGACGATTAATGGGTGTCAATCTCAAGCTATGCCAGTTACTTTTGGTGTACCTCAAGGGTCGGTGCTGGGCCCTACCCTGTTTTCCATCTTCTGCCCAGCGCATCAGGCTTATTATAATCTTTTGCCACGTCCTATGAGCCGTCACTTTGAAAAGTATGTAAGTAAAAATTACTCGGTGGAACGCTCTGGAAAATCAAATGAGATCAATTCAAGACGTTGACGCTTTTAAAAAGTCACTCAAGTGTATTTTTAAGCCACGTATGTTATAATGATGTACTATGTAGAATTTTTATTGTTGAAAATTATGTAGAAATCTTACATTAGTCTTCTTATAATTAGTTAGGAATTTAGTTTTATTGGATTTAGTTAGGAATTTTAGTTTTATTGTCCGTACACGACCACATCAGCTTTTGCTGAATTTTTTATCGTGTTTAAATAAATGCTGTTGTTGTTGTTGTTGTTACATCACTGGAATCGCTGCGAGGGTTGAGTTTTCGATTTCAAGTTTATTATTAATATTATGCGGTTTTGCGAACTGCGTAACATATAGGGAAAAACACGAGACGTAGAACGAATTTTAACAGTTCAGGGCCGTAGTCAGACTTCAGAACAAGACGAAGCAAGTTTCGAGCGCCGGAGACGCGAGCCGCTAGGGAGGTCTGGGGGCATGCCGCCTGAAAAATTTAAAATATAGAGGCTCCGAAATACTCTTTTAAGCATTTTCAGTGGCATTTTTCTTCAGAAAAGTCAACCTTGGGCCAAAATCAAGACGGGGCCTCGTCTTGCCTCATGCTAGCTATGGCCCTGCAATTATGCCAGTCCAGCGATAATTTTCATCATTCCTGTTTTGTTCTGTTTTGTTTTTGAAACTTTATATACTACACGGATGTTAGCTGTGTTTGATTGTTATTACCAGGCTAAGCTTGCAATCTCACTGTGTTTGAAAACCTTCAAAACTCGTATACTGTCCACATCGTTTCCTTTTTGAGAATTTTCGTGACTGCTCACGCTATAATAATGTCAATTACGGCGCCTGGCATGTTACAAATCTTTTTTTGGTTCTTCTGTTGCTATTTGCCGATTCGCCTGTTCCGAAATTTCACTTTCAATTAAAGGAAAAAAAACTAGAGAAAAGTCCCGGAAACGGTCGGACATAAAATTACTTGAAGTAATTTTGACTTCTGTAAAATATGGTTTAGTTCCGTGAGGATCTTGTAGTAATTCTGATATATTCGGTTCAACAGAAAGATTACACTGCAGAGGAAGAAGAATTATTTTTAATTTACCCAAAGATAAATCATATGACATCGTCCGACGTGCTTAGATACAGCCAGTGGCCTACACTTTCTTTGAATTATAACTTAGACATCTTCAAGCGTATTGCAAAGGCTATAGTGCCACTCTCCCCGACGCACTGTCTGAAAACATCCTTAAATGCCGCTCAAATGGTTACTCTCTGAGGGCACGCGACCTTTTAACAATATTCAGGTTTCAAACAAGATACGTAAAAGACTCGCTTAAATATCGCGGTGCTAAGTTATGGAACACTGTTTGCTACTATGAACAAGAAGTTGGACGCTCGAGTCTCAGTAATTTGAAAAAACACCTACTCACCAGAGACTACTAAAGAAATTTAAATTTAACATACTTCCCGCTTCTCCTGCTCGCCTT